TGTGTGTTGTCTTTCCTAAAATATCCTTATTAATCAAGTGTATTAGTTAGAATTACTATTGTTAGAATGACTATCTTGAAAAAAAATACATAAATATTATAGACAAAATGGATTGGGGTCTTATATTTAAGATCAAAATAAAAATCAAACGAGATCCTATATTATGAATCGAAGCTAGTATAATTTATATAGAAAGTAAAAAACTCTTAACGTCTGGCGTTATTCTTGAGCTATTCAGGATAGTTCTCAAACTGTGAAACTGTGCGCAGGAATTCATGTTGTGTATTTTTGAGGCGTTAAGACTACTTCACGTACTAAGGGCACAAAATAAAGCCATCATCAGGTTTGCTCTGTATCGATTTTCTATCACAAGATACTTGCAGATTATAACTGTTCTTAACTGCCAAGAATTATTAATTAAAAATTTTCATGTAATATTGAAAAAATGGGTAAAAAGTGCCCAGTCAAAAATTTTATTTATGCATAGTTCTAAAGAATTTTATATCTTTTAGTCATTCTACTCAATACAATTTTTAAATAGAAACTTTTTACTGATTTTTTCAAAAGTAGTCCACACACTTTTAAAGAAAATGTCTCTCGACTTCTTGATAAAATATGATCATAATTTTATGTGTAACATATTTATAAGTGATAAGGTTTAAATTTTTTAAAAAGAAATTCTCCAAAATCTTGAACTCCCCAAGTGTTATTGTCTTCAATGTCATTGTATTGCTTTGGAGTAGGGTCACAATGTGGAATCTGGAATCACTCCGAAATTCGCTGTGCATGTGTAATCCTCCTTTCGTTGTGGGGTTTTCCAGCCCTCCCTTCCTTTCGGTTTCAGCTTTGAATTCTCCTTTTCAAAGCTGCAATTATATCCCCTCACGTTATCTCCTCTTTAATATTTTTCATCTTTGAGTTACCTTTTCAGCTCTCTTTTTTCCCCTTATTATTTAATAATGAGATTTACGAAATATTAAATATTGAGTAATCGAAAGAAATTCTAACTAGACGGCCCTTTTCTTCCTCCAAGAAAAAAATATCAGCACAAATTTTTTTAACAAAATTGAGTGAAGGGACAGAATTTTTATGAAACTCAGTGCAAATAATAACTATACAGTACAAAATATTTTAATTTCACACAGTGCGATGCTTTAAAGCGTTAACTAGAAACAAGTTTTGAAGTACAGATTTCGATGAAGAATTTAAAACCGAGAAAAGTTGCTTAGGACTAGAATTGGTAATACAAGTTGTATTTACGGGTCTAGCCTGTCAACTCATCAAAAATAGCCAGTTAGAACTGGTCAAAAACTAGTCTGCTAGTAAACGAGCTTTTTAACCTGTAGTGTCAGGCTCACAACCCGTCGTGGGTTAGCCCGCCGACCTAAAAGCTCACTCACATTTATTTTTTATTTAATTTTTTTAAATTTTTTTAATGATTATAATTATATTATTATCTATTATATCATATCTAAAAAATTTTTTAAAATTTTTATAAAATTTATTTGGTACTTTTAATCAAATATTTCAAGAGAAAACAAAAAATCTATTATTATTTTTAGATATCATATAAAAAAAATTAAAAAAAAAAGAAAAAAAAAGTGTTGACAAATTAAGGTTGACTGAGTTTTTTTAGTTTAACCCGTCATGAACCAACCAACAATCGCAAAATGACTTATATTACCAATCCTATTCAAAACCAGGACAATTGAAGCCTGGTTTGTTATCATATATAGATTAAGAGTGGAACAGTTTGTTTTGTTCAGACTTGAGAGAGGAGGCCAAATTGGGATATTAATCGAGATATTGGTGAAATGCCGAGATGGTCCCACGTATTTATGATCGCCGTTTCGCCTGCCCCAGCACTCAAAACAGAAAAAGGAAAAGTTGATATTTCAGGCATTTCAATATTAACAGATAAGATTCTGAACACAGTGCTTTCATGTTGTGTCCATCGTTAGTTGGCCAACAATAAAGGTGGTGTATATCTTTTTTCTTTTTCAAAAGGTCTATGATCTCTTTCTTATATTCCGAAAATAATTCTACATAATAATTTTTTTTAGAACAGGCATTGAAAAAAAATCAACAAACTTTGTTTGAGTATTTGAAGTGGTGAAATAAAGGATAAAAAAATGTAACAGTTTGCTTTTTTTTTTGTGGCTTTTGAAAAAAATTAAATTTTTTGTTTTGTTTTCAGACATAGTTTTTTTAATTGAAAAGAAAAACCGTCACGAGCTTTCTCCTTTTCTTTTCTTGCTTTATTTTTGGGGATGGGAAAACGGAGGGTACAAATATAGGCCTCCAACTCCAAGGTTAAGAAGGCGGAGGGACCCATTGGGTCATGCTGGTGCCTAGTAGTCGTCATAGTATGTCGGTGAGAAGCTTCACATTTTGGATAGATGCGGGGGCCAAGCCAGCCTTTAGACCAAAGGGGCCACTTTTGAGAAATTGATGTAAGACCTGTTTTAGCCACCTACAAAGGAAATTAACAGGGAGGCTTGAACCATAACAGGTTATATCCAGCATAAGAGGTTAGCTGTTTACGATGAATTAAGATTTGAATTATCTCTGATAAAAGATACTTGTTCCTACAGAAATAAAAACATGAAGGTTTGAAAATATACTCCTCCGGTGCTAAATGTAAAATCTTTATACATTTAGGACTGGAGGAATATATTTTCAAACCTCCATGACTTTATATCCGTTGGCAACAAAATACACACGCGCCGACACACGTGCTCGGTGCAGAAAAGTAATTACCGACTTCGAAAAATTCCAAAATATTCACTTGAGTGAGAAAAGAAGTGTCATTCTACACGAAATTTCCACTTAGTTATATCTGACCGAAAGGGAATTTTCTATGTTCACACAATTGTTTGGTGATTTTCAAATTTAACAGTCATTTTCTGTCATCTTCCTTCGAAGACATGGTCTTTTCCCTGTTCAAGTTTGTTTTCTTTTTGAAGACACTTAAATATAACGTAACTCTGAGCGGTAACTAAACTAGGACAAACAAATAACATATACAATATACAATAACTCTGAGGAGAGCCATAACAAAAAGGTCAAAACTAAAAAGGGTGGTAAAATGAGAGAGATCTACTACTACTGGATGTAAGATTGGCCAGTTATGTCTAAATCTCGATCACCAGTGGAAGGCGGAGAATGATGGTTGAGGGGAAGACGAGTGCGTTCCACAGAGCCATCTGCACTCTGTGTATCACTTGCCGGTGCCTTCTTCTCCAACTGTTCTTGATGACCTTCTTCTCTGTCATCTCTGCCGTACAGTCCTCCTCCATACGCTTCCACTGTTACTGCTTCCATTTTCGATATTTGAGGTCCTTCCCCAAGTTTCTTCTCTCCTTCCTTCCTAAATGCTTCTGTCCTCGACCCTTGTTCCATATTCACTTTCTTCTTCTACCTACCTCTGGTTTAATTTCTTCAACTAAAATGTTGGATCTTCTTGTAACGTAGATCGAAGCCACTTTCTGTATATATATACATGTATACATAGCAGCCCCTGCGTGTTTGTTTTGATCAGTGTCTCGTCAGTTTGCGTGGCTGCATATGATGAGGCCACGCCAGTATACCATGGAACACGTGTCGTTTTATGGAGTTGGATTGGTGTCGTTTATATATTGGACCCCATGTTCTTTCGATTGACCACCCCAGCCTCTATTCACTTATCCTGAATAGGGAACGGGTTAATCTTACGCATAATCAATGGAACTTGAAAGCACCTAATGATGACCGCCACGTCTCCGAGGACTGTCCAGATGTAGCGTCCCTATGAAGCATAATTGCCCAGAAAAGTGAAAAGGCATAGGTTTGCCCCAGCTGAAGATAATCACGGCACATGGCTTGTTAGACAAAACTGCCGGTTTTGGGTTCAATAATTATGCTTTTACTGTTTGGTCCATGAAAGTATTTGGAAATATCACAGGTTTGATGAAAATTCCCTGTTAAGAACGCTAGAATGCAGTAAAAGGAATGAACAGAACCACATTGTATTCCAATTTGTAGGCACGTCACCCTACATTTTTTTGTCATTTCCTTAGTATTGATTCATGAATCATTGACTTCAACCAAATAATGTCACTTACATGGAATGCTGGCAATTTTTATTGAGTATTTAGGCGTGTCCAACGATGCAGTTCTCGTTTATTAATTTGATAATATCTCCTGTTTTCATACAAGCTGCACCCTTTCATTGTTCGTCATCATTGACTCTGCATTTCCTGTGTTTGAATAAAGTAATGACATATGGGCCTAGGAGTTGCCAGAGATACAGTTCTTCTATTTCGGGTCAAATACTGTATAAATTGCTTCGAAGCGTTGCATACTTCTTATGAAAAACCTGGGTCGGAAAAAAAAATGAAAGTATGAAATTATTTCTGCAATGAAGGCCGCTCTTCAACAGTAGAGGGCGTTTCTGGTCCACTTGGTTATGTTTTGGGCCTATCGGCATAAACCTGAGGGTTCCGTGTTTTCCAGTACCAGCTAGAAAAGAAGAAAATAAGATAAGGCAACCGAAGACAACTTGAATTTAATGTTTGTAGTCCGGATTCAGAGTTATAACGTGAAAAAGGCAACGTTCTTCAGTAATTTAATTTGAAGTTGCTTGATGATTACGCATGGGATGGCAAATTTTGTGACTCATTAAGAGTATATGAGAAATGATGATTTCAGGGGTGTTTGGATAGAAACCAAATCATGATTTTAAAAATATTTTTACAGTATACAAAGTAAATATGTAGACGAGTTTATCTCATTTTACTGAAAAGTACTTTTAAGAAGAACTTTTAGGTGCTTTCAAACACCCCCTTCATGCCGTCCATGCCGTCCGAGTTCTCTAATAAACATGCATTCTGACTTCCTTTTTGCCCAACGAAACTGACTCCTATAAAACTTTTTTGCGTGGTAAACTGTTGCTTGCACCGAAAAAGGAAACAACTATCGTTTATAATCCTATTAAGCCAGACAACTCAGAGAAATGAACCTACAAGGAATACATTTTGACATTAAACTTCTGTGAAAAGGCATGTTTTTCTTGCTCATCCATTCCACTTCCCCGCTAAATGTCCCAGAATTAACATTCTGTAAACTTTCCAGGAGTATAAAAAAAGGAGGCGCCACCGAAATCTAATTACAAGAGCTAATGTAATGTTTCCCAACCTTTTTACCTTTCTTTCGTTCAACTATGGTGGAAAATTGAATTGACTCTTAGTGTGTACAAGTATCTGCTAACCTTATGGTCATGGAACAAACATGGCTAAGTTTAGGTATATACATATTTATGCAACATATAATTCAGCTTTTCCGTCAATGAACAGACTCATGAACTCTTCACCATCCACAGTTTCTTTCTCGATGAGAAGCTGAGCAAGCTTGTGAAGGATGTCACTGTGTGTTGTGATGATTTGCTTTGCCCTTGCATAGGCTCTCTCCACCAGCTCCCTCACCTCTGCGTCCACAATATCTGCAGTAGCCATTGAGTAATCTTTCTGGGTTGACATCTGCATGCAAAAGGCGGGTATGCCCTCAGAAATTAGTGCCCAAGTTGAAATTAGATGATAAGTTAGATGGACGATGACCGTGTGTGATCAACTTTAAAATTAGAATAACACCTGTTGGCCCAAAAATGGGTTTCCGCCAGGTCCTCCAATGGCAACTTGACCTATCTTTTTGCTGAACCCGAACCTCTCAACCATCTGTCTCGCAACCCTCGAAACTTGCATGAAGTCGTTTGATGCTCCGGTTGTAACATTCTCCTCTCCAAATATTACCTCTTCAGCAACCCTGCATTGGCACAACAAAAGCAATGTCCAGCAAAAATATTCGAACTTCCGATGGAAGCAACACACTATAATATTAACACAAAGATCCATCAGTGATGAATGCATAGTCCACTGACCTTCCACCCAGAGCAACTGCCATTTGATTTTCCAAGTAGCTTCTACTGTACAGTCCAGACTCAAGCCTCTCTTCGCTGGGAGCAAAAAATGTGAGCCCACCAGCTTGGCCACGAGGAATAATAGATATTTTGGCCACAGGGTCATATTCAGGCATCAAAGCACCAACTAGGGCGTGGCCAGCCTCTGAAAATAAAAGCACAAACTAATGGTTAAGGAATTGAGAATGAGCAACTAGGAAGCTCAAGCATACTGAACACCTATATATATACCATGGTAAGCTACTAGTTTTTTCTTCTCATCTGAGACAACAGCATTTTTCTTCTCTGGTCCAGCAATGATCCTTTCAAGTGCGTCAGATATCTCATCTTTGCTTATTTCCTTGAGGTCTCGCCGAGCAGCAAGAATAGCTGCTTCATTCATTAAATTCTGTAGATCAGCCCCTGTGAATCCTGGGGTTCTTCTGGCAATTTTTTCAAAGTCAACATCCTTTGCAAGAGCTTTTCCTCTAGAATGCACCTAACAAAGAGAGAGAAGGGCGATTAATTTAGGTACAGCAATTAGAGTTGCATACTCTTTAGACCCCTCCAACCAAACGTGGATTTTAAACAAGGCCTGCATATCACATTCACGCTCAAACTTACGGATTTGGATTCTCTCCACTACCCTTCCCATTCTCTTCCCCTCCACTACCCTCCATTTCTCTTCACAACCATTAGATCAAAATTCCAATGGTTCAGATTTAACATCTTATAAAAATAATGTTATTAAAAAAATAAATAAATTTAAACTGTTAAAATCTGATCTGAATAGTTCACAACTGTAATTAAAAAAATTAAAAAAAATTTGCTCTATAATAATAGTCTATAGCTATGAACTATTAAGATTAGATTTTAATAGTTTAAATTTATTTATCTATTTTTTATAATAATATTTATTTTTATAAAATGTTATAAAATATTAAATCTGACCATTGGAGTTTTGATCCAATGACTGTAAAGGGAAAAGGAGGGTAATGGAGGGGAAGAGGATGAGAAGGGTAGTGAAGAGAATCCAAGTCCCAAACTTAAGGACTGCACCACTGTGCTCCAAAACTTGCAAGGTATGAAGTACATTGATACACAACATAAAGATAGTCATGTCGTTTGAACTCCATCACCCTACTAGATACTATGGATGGAAATCAAAACTAGCACTTAATTCATGACATATTATCGAAGATTCCAACATTGCAACAAAAGCATTGGGCTGCAAAAGGCATTAAAGGAGGGACAGAATTTATTCTAACTAAACATGTATAGTTGTTAGTATGATATACGGTTAGATAATTTATGTGTTCAGTTCGGTTTAGTTACTTCTAGTGACTTCGAGCTCTACTTTTACCTATTAGACTAACTGAATCAATAATCCTCAAGCTTCCTGTTTAGCATATTTTATTAAAAAGGAGCTCACCTGAAGGATTTTAACTCTACCCGCAACGTCGGGTCTGTCCACAGTCACTTGCCTATCAAACCTTCCAGGCCTTAGCAATGCTGAATCAAGAACGTCTGGTCTGTTTGTTGCAGCCAAAACTATGACACCTGAATTACCAGAAAATCCATCCATTTCTGTCAATAACTGATTAATTGTTTGCTCCCTCTCATCATTCCCACCTCCCAGACCAGCCCCTCTCTGCCTCCCCACAGCATCAATTTCATCAATAAATACAATGCATGGTGCCTTGGACTTCGCCTTCTCAAACAAATCTCGCACTCTAGATGCACCAACTCCGACAAACAATTCGACAAATTCTGAAGCTGCACAAGAAAAGAATGGCACCCCAGCCTCGCCGGCGACTGCTCTAGCCAAAAGGGTTTTTCCAGTCCCGGGTGGTCCAACTAGAAGGCATCCTTTGGGAATCTTAGCTCCGAGGGCAGTGTACTTATCAGGGTTTTTCAGAAAATCAACAACCTCCTGCAACTCCAATTTTGCTTGGTCAGCTCCGGCAACATCAGCGAAGGTCACACCGGTTTCTGGAACTTCCTGGAATTTGGACTTTGATCGCCCAAAATCCATGGGTCCACCGAGACCACCAGGACCACCAGGTCCTCCTTGTGCTCGGCGAAAGAGTAAGAACAGCCCAGCAAATGCAAGGAATGGGAACAACAAATTGCCAATGAAATTAAACAGCCCATTACCCGAATCACCTTCGGAGACAGAAATATCGACACCATTCATGGCTAGAATATCGATGAGGTCCGGGTCATTGGGTACGATGACGGTGGCGCGGCGGCCATCGACGGCGGTGAGTTGAAGGGCAGAACCATCTTTGCTGAACCTGACTCTCTCGACCTTGCCCTTCTTGACGGCACTCAAGAACTCGCTGTAACGCCATTGGCTACCTTCCGGGAGATCTGAAGAGGCTTGAGATTGAGGTTTGGGGGCCGTAAGAAGAAGATTTTGAGCAAAAGGGGAGGAATTGGAAGAGTTTGGTTTGGTGGGTTGTGCCTCAATTACAGGAGGTGCCGGAGGAGGGTTGAGATTGTCGGCGTCAGCAGCTAGAGCTTGAGGGGTAACAGAGGAGAAGATTAGAGCAGCTAAAGAAGCTTGGGAAGGTAAGGATTTCAAATTCAAATGTTTAGAATCACGCTTCCTGCTAAAACTGTTTTGGGAGTTCAAAATCCTTCTCTTGAAGAAAAGCGGAAGAGGAACAGATGATTTGCTTGTTTTTGGGGTGGGGGGCGATAATAGGACCTGGCTCCCAAGAAAGGGAGAAGAAAGGAGAGAATTGGTGGTAAAAGCCATGATTATGGCTCGCTCCTTCTCTCCACACTATGTGCTGAGTTCGAGCTCTCAAAATAATATCCTTCTATCTGGAAACAGAGTCGGGGGTCTGCGCCACAAAACGATGGTGACTAAAACAGATATATAATAACCCAAGAAATCCTAAGGCCGAGGATAAAAGCCCCGCATGGCTTCCGTCTAGGCGTCTACTGGTAACTTGAGAGAACAAGTATGTACCTTCGGAGCGTCTAATGAGAAATACAAGATTGTCTTTGATTCAAGCTTGGATGAAGCCGTGCCATGAATTTGGGCGGTGTTTTATATCTTCTACGTGGCATAGATTGGATCCATTTATTTTACGCTGCTTCCAAATATTCCACAATTATTTTCATTTTAAGCCTCCCTTACCCGGGCCGGGTATACACAAAATGTTTTTTGCCCAATGCTAAAGTGGGCAAAGAAATTTGAGCTGTCGTTCGGCCCAAAATAAGTTCCATTGCATAATCAAGAACCAAGAATATTGTGTTGTTCCCCAAAAGAGGTGTTATTGTGAATTCAAGCCGATTTGATGGTGGGGCTTGGGACCGAATTTGAGCGTTACTTATGGATAAGTGTACCAGTTGGCTTCCGTTTTCCCCATTTCAACATTACCTCTGGGACGATGCCATTAACATTAGCATCATTTAATTTAAGGATTTGGCAATGTTCCATTTCTATCGACGTCTCGTAGGAAGGACATCCAAGGCTAACCTTCATTTGCAGTCGAAGTACTTTCTCTAACCCTAAAGTTAGGAAATTGTTGAGGAATTTGTTTTGCAATTAAATGCAAAACTCCAATTTAGTAATCTCCTAAATTTATAATTTTCTTTTCAAATTATTCCTATTGATAATATATATCAGAAAGAATTTTTTATCACGATGTAATTTTTAATACAAATAATTAAAAGATATTATTAAAAAATTAACACATATTTTACAAATAACTGACAGATAATTAATTTAAATTTCTATATTTAACAGTATAAAAAGTATTTAATATCAGGACAGTGTTTCCCCTGATGCTATTTCCACTATCAAATGTTACGGGTAGAAAACTAAAATCGATAAATAAGATTTTTCTGCACACTAATTTCAGACGTACAGAGTTTGAGGGTAATGGGTGCATCTGGCGCAAACAGCGCGGAGAAGTAAAGTGATCCGCTGTCAGCGACTACCCAGGATTCTTAAGATGTTTTCAATTCGTTCCCTAAGACAACCGTCAACGCCAAACAGCAGATAAGAAACACCACACACACTTCTCCCATGTCACGAGTCAACTTGATAAGCTTGGTTTAAGGTAAAATCTCAAATTATATGCTTTACTCAGCTTGCTAGATGCGACACAATCCAATAGAGAAAGAGATGGGGGGAAAAGAAATGGGTATATAGAATAAGCAAAAGATCAATACTTGTTACCATTTTACATGGACAACGGAAGAAGCATCCTCCGTTTCTTTTTCCTTGCCAATCTTACTTGCTTTGTAATTTTCATGCATAAAAGCAACAAAACTGTGATGCTGACTAATATAAAAGCTAGCCGGACGTTCCTAAAGTACAAAGAGACTGCCGAAAAGACCAGGAATGCTAAAATGACAAGTTCCCATATTACAAAGACCACAACATCCACCCTGCATCAAGAGAGAGAGAGAACAAAAGGCATCAATATCATCATATAAATGTTATCCTAAATACATTCACACAAGTACAGCAATTCTTCGCGTTAAGACAATCACAAGGGATTCTAAGCTGATGAGATTATTTTTGGCCAATAAATTAATGAGGATGTTGATTTTCATACTATAACACTGATCTCAATAATCACACTGATCTCAATAATCGTCCATCCAGTCAGACTGAGTCAATCAGATTTGAAACTGAAATTGCCTGAGGTAATTAAATGGTGGTTTAAGGCCTATTAAACATCATTATCCCATTATGGCTATTCGTATGCCAAAAGATCAATTGTGAAATCAATTGGCTTTTCTAGAGAGAAAGAACAAATATGTTGCTAGTAAATGTGGTCTTTGATAACAATATGACTAATATTTCACAAATAACTGGATTCGAATCTTCCTCTATAAATGCTATTTGAACCATGAGGCTTACCTTAACCTTGGCAAGCCACTAGGACCTAACTCACCTTAACTTCTAGTATTAAAATGAAAAGGATGAGGAGGAGCACCAGAAGAAGAGGAGGAAAGCAGGTTGAGGGGCGAAACCAAAACTACTAAGCGAATAAACATTATTTTGCCCCCACCCCAAATTTACCTAAACGAGAAACATGCTTTCCTATACTTCAAATCTGCAGCACCATTCAGGCCAAACAAACTTGTGCGGATTACTATATGTGAACCTATAGGCTTAACAAAACTAATAAAATCATCGAATAGATGCCCTTCCAATCTAAGCATAGTAACTTGCTATTATGAAGAATTGAATCTAACAAATATTGTTAAGTGCCTTGAACAAGCACAATCTTCTTCACAGCAACACAACGTCCGATATATAAAGGGATAAAATTTCAAAAGGAATGAACAATAGATCGCAAATTTTTTATTGTCGACAAGCGGTTTCGTTGGCCCAAAAAAAAATCGTAAAAAGATGTTTTGACAGATTAATCAAGTGATCTATCCTGATTTAACAAACGCATCATATCTTGGCGAGAAATTCATTCCCCGAGACTACAAATATTTCCTTCGCATTCTATATATTACCCCGAACATTTTCATATCGATAATTTGAACTTATTCATAAACCTGGCCAAAATCAATCAACCAGCCCGTCAAATTATTGCCATGCCGTTTACCTCGTCATATCAATGTCAGCCTCTAGCTAAATTACAATGACAAAATGAAACACAAAAAATGTGAAACAAACATTGAAGCAAGCTAAATCGACGAGTAAAGGCCCCGGGCAGTCTGGACGAATCTTGATTTGAAAAGAAAATGGCAAATTCAACAACATTTTCAATCAAATAGCGTACACATGCAATTCACAGCGGATGACCAACGAGGAGAGGACCAGGCAATATGCAATGATTCCCAATTTCCGATAAACAGGTAATAAACGGGATAAATAAGGGGGGGAAAACCCAAAAAAAAACACGATTTTCGAAAGAAAAAAAATAAAATTCAATGTTTGGCATACCTAGAAGTCGAGAAATTTGAAGCAGTGGAGGAGAAGAAGGAGACAGAGGCCCAGTCGTGCTTGGATCGAATCTGATATTCTCTAAGCTGTTCAGCGAGATTCGATCGAGTTATCATGGTAGCCTCCCGCCCTCTCCTTTCCCAATCTGTGAAATCCGAGAGTCTCTTTTTTATTGCCGTGCAATGAAAATGTTGACGAAGAAGACCTACTGCAGAGGCATGAAGGCGAATATTGGAAATTCGATGAGGGGAGGACTCGAGCAGAGCAGCATCCGATTCATTTTCGTTAGTTTTCTTTCCTCCTCTCCGAATTTATTCTTTTTCCCGCGTTCGGGTTATTATTCTCAGCCCGTTCATTTCATTCTAAGGCACCCTCGCGGCCCATTTAGATTCGGCCCGTAGCCCAACTATGAAAGACCAGCTCAAAGCTATTGGATTGTCTCCTGTTTAGTCTGAGTGGTGATTTGGGCCCCCTTAATTAGAAGCCTATTACTTCATTTTTGTTTTTTTATAAAAAGATCAATTATATTAAAATAACAAAAATATGCACCCAAAGCCCATGTCGTATTTTTGGCCCAAAAAAAAAGTGCACGTCGTATTATCTGAAGAGTGGGAAGCCAATAAGACATCAGTTAGATATGAGAAATAACTGGAAGAAGATCTGAGCAGAGAATGAACAACATTTTGTAAGGCGTCTACCCTATTTGATATTCAACAACGTCAAATCGAATTTAAGCCTTTTAGTTCCCTAACATCTTTCGTGTTACATGTGACCCAACAAGAGGCTCTTATAAGTCATGCTATGAGCATGACATAAAAAAAGTAAAATAGACATTGCCGACATGTATTAATCCTGATGAAAGAAGTTGTGATTAGTTAAATACAAGGTTTTAATTTGCTCAAAAAAATATACAAGGTTTTAAATTTGAGTTCATGTAGATACATGATATTTCCTTAAATTTCATGTACTTTTTCGGTTTCTTAATATAAGACTTAATTATTGAGTTAATTTTGGTCTTAAATATAATACTTATTTTTCATAATTATCAATTTTTCTTAAATTATTCCTATGGATACTTCTTCAACCACAATCAAGTAAAGAGGAAGAGATGTTATTAAGGAAGGTGATTATGGTGTTTTAGAAAAAGTATGTCATATTTCTTATAATTAATTAATTTATCTAACTTCTTTGATTTAATCAGACTAGTTAAATAGGTCTTATATTAAAAACCAGATGAGTATTTAATATTGTATACTTTTTCAGTTACCGGATGAATAGTTATAAATGCGTGCGTGCATAGGGAGGGAGAGAGAGAGAGAGATAGAAGGGACGTTTCTGATTTGGCCATTTGGGTTTCTCAAGCAACGGAAACAGGGAAATAGAATGCCAGCATACTTTATTGTTAGAATAAATCGTAAAAAAAATCCTAAAAATTAAAAAATCACACACAAAGATTTATCATCACAACTTGTTATTTGCTCATTAATTATTTTCTTATGTTATAACATTATTTGCAATTTTTCTGCTTTTAAAATCTTTTTTTTTTGTTGCGATTTTTACTTATTATTATCTATTTTTCCCCAACTATTATTATCTATTTAATCGATGACTATATCTATTAATTTAAGTGCATTTACATTAACATACTAATATCTGTAAAACTAACAATGAAATGAAGTAGTATGGATGTAGTTAAAAAACAATCAAATCAACACCTAACAAAGTATTTTTTTTTAATTTTAGAATTTATACGAAATAATATGATACGTTGTCATAAGCCCATATGGAACCATGGGGTTAAAAATTTTCTATTTTATATATACTGAATAAAAAATTTCAGATGTACTACCAGGAGTTGGGTTTAATAGAAGAAGCTAATCCTTTATAATATTAGTGAATCAAGATTTAAATCCTATTGAGAGAGGTATTTATATTTAATGTTTATTAGTATTTTAAATAGGATTGTTTCAAATAAAAATTTAATCAAAAAAAATTCAGATGTATTTATGTGTTTTTTTTACCTATACGAATAACCTTCACCAGAACGCTTCAAATTCCATGATCTTGTTCAGAGTAATAATGCACTCATGCCATGGGAAAAGGCCAACCGAGGCCCACCGTCACCAACATAACTCTCGAAAACTCCTCGTCTCTCAGCCTTCCGCGCTCTGCCACGTGTCTTCAGGTACCACCGACCTTTCGAAATTTAATCCTATTAGACTATCGAGGCCAACTTATTCAGGTCCCACTGTACCCGACCCATCAACGTGTCAGATCCTCATGGGCTCTGCTACAGGAATGTGTCTCCATCATCTTTCTTTAGCGCACTCGATCACTAGCTTACGTGATTGGTACACCTGCTTCCAACAGCAGGGAACTCGTCGCCTGTTCAGAGCCGATATTTGCGGTGTCCATCAATGACAGCGACTCCAAGTGGAAGCACGGAACGTGAGATCAATATTAGTTTAACAGTTTAAAGTGATGGGATCACATCCCTGGTTTTTTTTTTTTTGATAATAACATCCCTGCTTTAATTTCCCCTTATCTTAATCGACACGTCGGTTACACCAAATATTTTTTTGAATCTGAGCAGCGTCGTATCCGCGTTTTGCGAACTATAAATCTCCCTCTTGGACCCCCAGTTCATCATCAGTTGCATAGAGAGAGCGAACTTGGAGTACCGCTAAGTGCAAGGCAAGCTACTTCCTGAGAGTATCTTTCAAACATGGCGGAGGAGAATCAGCAGAAGACGACTGAGGTGGAGACCCAGGACCGTGGGCTTTTTGATTTTTCTGGGAAGAAAAAGGAAGAGAAGTCTGATCAGAAGCCCGGTTTGTTGGAGAAGCTTCATCGATCCAACTCATCTAGCTCCGTAAGTATATATGTTGATCTTCTTTATGATTCGCGTTAAGTTGAGTAGTGAGAGCACTCTTAACTAACTCAGCTGATTATATATATGTGTGTGTGTATAGTCGTCGAGCGAAGAGGAAGAAGTAGGAGAAGATGGCGTGAAGAGGAAGAAGAAGAAGGAGAAGAAGAAAGCAGGGAAACGGCAGCTGAGGGGGAGGAGAAGAAGGGGCTGATGGACAAGATCAAGGAGAAGCTGCCAGGTCAGCATGCGGAGAAGACACAGGAGGAGGTCCCTCCTCCTCCTCCTCCTACTTCTTCTCAACCACCGACCGGCGAGGAGGGGGAAAAAAGGGTTTCTTGGAGAAGATCAAAGAAAAACTTCCTGGTCATCACTAAGACAGACGAAAACAAAGAAGAAGGAGGGCGCTGCTTGTTGTGATTGAGGCCTCTTTCATCTTCT